AATTGTCCATTACCGAAGAAAGAGACAGAAGAAGAGCTCAACAAGGTCTTATTGCTTAAGTAGACTTTCTTTTCTTAATTTGTACATTATACTGTTAAATTTGTATCCTTTGGAACATATGTAAATCTATAATCGAAGCTATTTATAACTTCCGGCGCGTTGAGATTGCTATCTATGACAAGGTTTCCGTTCACGCCAAACCATGAGCCCCAAATCGGTCTCGCAGTTTTCACTATGGAGTTTTCTTGGATCAAGTCAGCGGATTCACCTAACCTTGTCTTCCCACTTTGGTCAAACTTGACTCTTGCTGCAAAATTAATGATAAACGTATTGGTTCCAGGTATCAAATGACAATCGAAACTTGTCAACTGGTGTGACGAATTGGGCATACCCAACCATTTTTTTTGAAACTGTAGTTTGGCATCTTCCGCCTGTGAGGGTACAATAGGGACTCCATTCACAATTATTGCCGCCTCTCGCTTAAGTGGGGAGCCAAATTGAGTTGCATAAGATTCGACATTGGTGAACGATTGAGCGGCGCTGTTGTATTGAGCATCCAATGACGCCAAAAGAGTTTTAAGGAATGGCTCTATGGGCTGTGCTGGGTTGAGTTAGTACAAACCACAATGCTCAATTGCTGATTTGACGTACTTATGTCTTGATTCATGGTTGATTGGTGTTAATTAGAGTAAGACGGACCTGTTTTTTTTTTTTTGTTTTTTTTTTTTTAAGATCGAGAAGATGTGAAAAAAGTCGTGCGGGAATTATCAGGTTTGATGGTGTGGCCACGGATGTGGTGGGGGAGGGAAGGAAGGGAGGGCACGTAGCCATCACGAAAAAAGCATTACGTGGGTAGGAACAATCTGTTGTAACTATGCGGCTTGGAAAGCTTTCGCCCTATTCTGTTATAGCCTCAGTGTGACGCCTATGGATGACGGGTATGCATGTATTCTTAAAAAAAAAACACACACACACACACACACACACACACAATAGCATAGCAATCTTGAATTTCCAGTACATGCAGGAATCCCACAATTTCAGTTTCAGTTATCTTTGAGGACCACAATATCTCGAGAGTCGTATATAAAAGAGGACTATTTTCCCACTTTGGTCTTCTTAGTATTCGTCCATGTCCAATTAACTCACACGATTTTACAATGCCAAACAAAGAAGAAGCAGAAGGAATTGCCGCATCTGTCGCTGGATCGTTAGTTGGAAACAAAGTCGCTGACAAGGCACATCTTGGAGGAGCGGGCCATATAGCTGCTGGTATCTTAGGAGGTATCGGTGGTGGTGAAGCCGAACAGAAAGCCGACGAAAAGAAGTAGTTTAGATTTAGATTTAATACACGGAATATTTGTGAAGGAAAGACCATTGTAGACTTTGTAAAATGAAAGATGGTAAACTTTGTAATGGTAGACTTTGAAAGATGTTAAACTCTGCGGTAGCGCCCAAAAAACAACCGCCACCTTTCCAAACTCCATCACGGTTTTACCTACCACAAACAATGAGCACTGACAGCTTCTTCGTCTGTTCAACATGTCTAGGAGATAACAAATTCATCAAAATGGTGAAGCAGGAGAATGGGGAGGCATGCAAGCAGTGTACACGCCCTTTCACTGTATACCGTTGGAGAAACGACAAGGTATCATCGCAACAAATGAAAACCGTTATCTGCTACACTTGCTCCCGAGGCAAGAATGCGTGTCAGGTTTGCCTCCTAGATAGAGATTACCGGATCCCGACAGACCTCCGGGATACTGCATTGAAAATGGCTGGTTTGGAGCAGATTTCTCTATTAAAAGCTCTGGCGAATAAAGAAGTGAAGGCGATCGAAGCCGATAAGTTGGAGAAGTCCCTAGAAGATGCACAAAACGGCAAAAGAGTCAAGGATCTACTAGCCCGGTTGGCTGAGAAGCTCAGCAATAACGAAGCTGCCTCTACGCCAACCGCGGCTGAGACCAAACGAGACGTGCCGATTTCGAAATTGGCGAAGAAACTACCCTTTGGGAACCTGTTGGATCCGGGAAAATATCCGGGATTGGCTACATTCTTTGTTTTTGGTTTTCCTTCGGATCTTCCTCAGTATTTACTTTCCAAGTATTGCTCGGAACACGGCAAGGTACAAAGTCTTGTGTTAAATCACGACTCGCGATGTGGATTCATTACCTTCCAGGATAGAGTTTCTGCTGAAAAGTTTGCAGAATCGGTAAACTCAAATGGATTGAATAGGAATAGAAAAACTGCGGGATTGTTGGAATTGAGCAACTACCCCATGAGAGTTTGTTTTGGTAAACAGAAACCGTTGGCAAGAACCAACGAAGACAAGAGGCAACTAAGTGCCTTGGTGAATAAAGTGATGAAGCAGTTGGCTGAGAAAGATATCAAGTAGAGTTTTAATAAATGCGCGTAAAAAAAATATAAAAATAAATAAAAATAAAAATAAAAAATTTAAAACGGTAACACCCCTCTATCCAATGCAATTGGAGTCCTATTTCTGTGCGTTGGTGGTGACTGTGTGCATCCCCATCTTGCTCATCCTTTTGCGAGTTCTCCGCACTGCACCATTTATTCAATTACCCAAACACATCAACCAGAGAAAATCACTCAAGCACCTCACAGGAAAACATGTGTCGATATTTTTGGGCTCTGGTGGACACACCGGTGAAATGATGAAACTTGTATTCAAATTGGACTTGCACAACATCAAAAGAACTTGGATTTATTCATCAGGAGATACTGTATCACTTCATCGAGCTCAACTGGAAGAAAGAGAACATTACAACAATGGCAACGGGAGTTACATACAAATCCCCAGAGCGAGAACTGTGGGCCAGCCGTATTTCTCATCTATCCCAACAACCATCTTCTCCATATTTGTTGCTGCGGTAAAACTCGTGCGACATTCTCCCGACGTTATCTTATTGAATGGACCAGGTACATGCATTTCTATTGCTTACATGCTATTTGTGTTCAAATTGTTGGGTCTCAACCACACAAAGATCATCTACATTGAGAGTTTGGCCAGAGTCAAGAGGTTGAGTCTTAGTGGTAGGTTGATCATGCCTATCACGAATCGATTCATTGTGCAATGGGACCCGCTATACAAACAATATAGTCGTGCAGAATTCTACGGCATGCTCATGTAATGATTATACCACTCAGAATTTCGCGTTTTTTCCCTCCAAAACCTCCCTCTATTTCCAAAACCTCTTAAAATTGCCCCCAGTAGGCTTTCAATTACTGGTAACACAAACAAAAACCACAAAACCCACTAATTGGCTATCGTTGCTGGCTCAAAATCAAAAAAAATCAAAAAAAATAGCAAATTGTTGCCATGCGGGACCTCAACTCCGCAGTGAAAAAGGTGATCCCTCAAGTCACCAGTTGCACTTCCATTTCCCCGACTCTTTCATGTCTAATCCACCCCCGGGGGTGGGGCATATTGCTCTTTATCACTACTCCCGGATATTTCTATTCCCGGTGTAGTATAGATTCTTTAAGTGTGTGGTGGCGTTACAAATTGCGCATTCTCTATCATCATTAGCTTCCCAGTTCTACTTATCTAACTGTATACAATTTTGAAGAACAATAAATACCTTAGAAGCCATACATGAAATGCAGGATTCACTAAAACAAATAAAACAATTGAATCTCAACTAAACTATCGCACTGATTCTCCCTATCCGCTGCTAATTTCCTGGAAAAAAAGTGTATGACAAAAGCCGCAAAATAATAATAGAGAAAAAAAAAAGAGAACGAGAGGAATTGTGCAACGCGTTGATCTTTGGCTGCAAGATTAAATATGGCACCACTGGGTAACACATTTGACGGTGAAATTCGAGAAATACCGGGAATCTATGTTGACAGTTTCAGCTACAAAGGTGAAGTGTACTTTTTAACGCATAGCCATCTGGATCATTTAAATGGTCTTTTGGCGAATTCATTTTGCGGTCGCGTGTACTGTTCCCAGTTAACTAGGGATATCGTAGCCCTAGATAGCCGATATAGTGAAAAATTACGGTACTTGATTGTGAAGCAATACAATGAACCATTTGAAGTACAAACTTTCCGTTCACCGGTGAAAGTTACTATGTTGGAGAGCTATCATTGTCCCGGTTCATCAATGTTTTTATTTGAGTGTGCCACCAGTGGTGTATCGTGTCTTGCAACTGGTGACATAAGAGCGGAGAAATGGTGGGTCTCCTCACTCGTCAAAAACAGGTTTTTATTCCCGTACATTACAGGATTGAAACAACTCGACCAAATCTACTTGGATACAACTTTTTCGTATCGTAGGGAACCTTATATCACAATCATGCCCAACAGTGAGGGGATCATGGCTCTCATCGAGTTTCTTAAGCTTTACCCAGTTGACAGAGAGATTGAGTTTTCATTCCTCGATGCAGTGTCTGGTTCGGAGGAGATATGGTTGCAGGTTCTAGACCATTTCAATGGAACCCTAGACGCCGATTCTTCCATACTTGAGCGCGTACGGTTGCTAAATACAAACAAAGGCCAGCAGCCCACCCCCAAGCTCACAGGACCTATGACTTTCAACGTTGGAAATTTGTACAAAGATGTCCCACTTATGATCACCATCAAACACTGCATCGACTTTAATATCGTGGACTATGCCGGTTTCTGTCTTCCGAAAAGACTTTGTGATATTGATACGTCAAGTCTCACCTTGCTTCGGGTTCTGAGCTCAGGACATCAGATTTATTCATACGACGACAAGACTTGGCTCCTCCCGCTTGATGGGAAAGAGCTACTACCAACTAATCTCTTGGTCATGTTTTCTCGCCATTCGTCGTATCAAGAGTCAATTGAATTTGTCAGGCTATTCAAACCAAAACTGGTGTTTCCGTGCGTTTCAACAAAAGAGTCGTGGTTGGGTGGGTTTACAGTAGGTCGAGTATTTGGCCAAGTTTGTTCGTCTTCCGAACATTTGTTTGATGTTGAAAACTTTCGAAAGTTTGGGCAGCCACCACGCATACTTTTGGAGCGTCCTGTATCCACAATAAACCGATGGTCTTTTGAACAGTGTGCAGAAGAAGTCAGTTTTGTCAAAAATTTCATTACCGAGCCAAAAGCATTCAAGGGTCAAATGCAGTGGAGTCAGAGCAAGCCAGAGCAAGAATTGTGCACTCAAGATCTCAAACTACAATCAATTATAGCAGGCAGGGGAGAGGAAAAGTATAAGCAAGTTATTGATTACCATAAAAGCAAAGACCTCAATCTCATTGTTTCCGCAGTTCATGAGAGATACAATTGCAAAGTTGACCTAGACACTGATACGGAGTCTGCGTGCTCGACTGATTACGACTCGGACTCCCTGGCAACAACAAACAACTCTGTTGTTGCTTCGAGTTGTGTATTTGAAAAATCGTTCTCAGAAAACCAAGCAATGCCTGAATGCAACTTCCTATCGCCGGGTCTCAACCATCGCAAAATTTCCCAAATATCAAATACCATTCGCTCAGATCGAAGATCATGGAACTCCTTCAGTCTTAGATCTGTCACCAAAAAAAAAAGAAAAGAAAAACACGTAAATAGAGTCAGCTAGTTTTCTTTCCATCTGTGTCCGCACTTGACACATTTGTAGAATGTAGTCATGGGTTCATCCGCGCTTCTAATTTGTAGTTGGAAAAAGTATGCCTTGTCTCCACCACAAGTATCAATTGGACACTGGGCCGCCGTCTGGTCAACGTTGTCCCAGGTACCCTCTCCACCCAAAACATCATCAACCTCTTTTCTGGGCAAGTTTTTTCGGTCATACATCAGCAAACCTGTGATCTTGAATTCGTAAGGACAAGTTGAGCAATAATATCGATTAATATTGTCATCACCAGGCGCTATCATAAGCATATTCGAACAATGGGGGCAGAACGTGAGCATGACGGACTCGTGTTGAGATGGGGGGGCGGTAATGCAACTAAAACAAGATCTTCCGAAGAGGAACAAAAAATAAAAAATAAAAAATAGAAAATGAACTCTGTTTTTTCACGTCTCTACAGTATCAATGTCAATCGGCACCCCTACTAGATCACCTTCGAAGAGAAAGGAATTGATTGATTCATTGATTACATGTACTCGATTGCCAAGTCTATCTCCGGCAAGAACACCTAATGGCCGTGCCGGTTTGCGGTCTCCGGAAAAGAGGAGCGTTGTAGACTTGGACATGTCTGCGAGAAAGAAAGCGCACTACACATTATACGATAAATTGATGAACGATGAGCTAGACTCTGACGACTTTCTTGATAAACAGGATAGGGCTTTGGCTGAGAGTATTATACGACTGTCGAGAAAGGAATCGATTGAAGAGGATTCATATAGGAATTATGGGAGCGACGTCGAGCTTGAACTAGACTTGACCACTGTCACCAGGAAGGGTAGGCGGATTCAAAAGAGATACCTTGAGGATGATCTTGATGACGACGATACTTTTGTCTCCGATTCCGAGGTTCTGCATGAGGAGAAAGAAGAAGATTCCGAACGTGAGGAATCGGAGCCGGAGGAGGCATACTCCAGAAAAGACAAGCTGAGATCAAACATCAGACAAAAACGGGGGAGACGTCAAAATGTGGCTGAAAAAGTGAAAAGCATTTTCCACCAGGATGACGAGCTCTTTGATCGAAATTATCCCGTTAGTGTGGAGCCCACACCGCCACTACCTCCACTTCCACCTGTTGCACAAAAAGTAGCCAAAAAATCATTTGCAAACTTATTGATTAGCCAGTACTCAGATCGGACCAGAGTACCCATAGTGAGTGGGCTCAATGTTAAAAAGGGCGATAAACTGGGTGGAAAGGAGAAATTTGAACCTTTACCGGTGCCTAAATTGGACTCTAATGGACATATAGATGACGGCTTGTACTTGGAAAGATATTTCAACGGAAGAGACCCATCTAGGGTTAACCAAGAGAGACTATTGGATGAGAAAGTGTTCTCGATGGAGGGTCCAGAAGGGTACTTTGAGCAACTTCATAGGAGGTTTAGAATCAACTCAAAGTCCTTAATCGCAGCTGCTCCTCGAGTTAGCGAAGCAGAGTTTAACAATGCAATCCAGCAGAGTGAACGAATATGCCAAAACCAAAAAGATAAACTCTTCAATCTTCACAAAAAGTTGTACAACCAGTGGTGTTTTGAGTTGAGCCAAAACTACAACCTAATATTTTACGGTGTGGGATCAAAATTGAGCGTGCTAAATGATTTTGCCGAGGACTATTTTGGCAGTTGGTGGGACGCAATATACGGTGGACTTCCGCCAAAGGCATTGATTGTTAATGGATTCAATCCTAATGTTGATTTCAAAGCAATTGCTCTTCAAATTGCGTCGGTGCTTTTACCTGAAGAGGAGAACAAATTTCCAAAACACGTATCGGAAACTGTTCCATTTCTAGTTGATCAGATGGAAAAGAATAGGGTGCCCGTGTCCATTGGTGAGATTCTTCGACCAAAGTTGCTATTGGTGGTGCATAATCTTGATGGGGAGGCTTTCAGGACGGATAAAATACAAGGACTCTTTGCTCAGCTAATGGGTATCCCCGAGGTTTGGGTGTTATCATCCATTGACCATATCAATGCTCCGCTTCTTTGGGATCTGTCCAAAGCCAAGAGTATGAACTTGATATGGCATGACTTGACTACGTACCACACATACTCGGTTGAGACATCATTCAAGGATGTCTTGAGCATGGGCAAATCTAAGCAATATATTGGCAGTTTAGGGGCCAAATTCGTTTTGAGATCGTTGACTGATAATCACCGTCAATTGTACAAAATTTTACTCACTGATCAGCTAAGTAACATGGAGAACATCGCTTCCGGAAAAGGCTTAGGCTTGAAAGGTACAGTCAAGTTTGGTGTCGATTTGAAAGCACTATACAACCAATGTTTGGATGAGTTCATTGTATCAAACGAGGTTACGTTTAGGACATTTTTAAAAGAATACGTTGATCACAAGATGTGTCAATTAGTTAAAGATTCCTCGGGTTTGGAGAAAACGTTTATCCCATTCACATTCGGTGAGATGCAGGATCTTCAAAAGGAAGAGTTTGAGTACTAGTACTAGTAGTAGTTGGTGTAAATATACATGCATTTTACTTGGGAATCTCTCTCTAATTTCGATCCGCACGCACACATCAAAAAAACACCCACACACACAAATTAAAACCCGCGAATCTTTAAATTTAGATTTCTGAAAGCGATTCAGTTGGTCACTTGTCTTCTACGCCGAGCTTACGCCTTACGTCTTTCCTCCCCCCTCTTCTAACATTCATTTAAGTGCAAATCCATCCAACCAGTCTCACCCAAATGAACATTGCTAATATACCAAAGCTTCAAGGCGGAACCAAATTGCAAGTAGGAAAGCACCAGGTCACCATTGTCAAGTATATATCGGAAGGCGGGTTTGCTCACATTTACGAAGTAAACATAAACTATCCAGAGAATGAGACCAAGACAGCTTGCTTAAAGAGAGTTATAGTTCCCGATAAGAATGGCTTAGATCAGTTGAGAAAGGAGGTGGAAGTAATGAAGTGTTTACGAAACGCTCGGAGTATTGTTTCGTATTATGACTCTCATGCCGAAAGACTAGACAACGTCAATTACCAAGTCTTGGTTCTAATGGAACTTTGCCCCGGAGGATCCTTGCTAGACTTTATGAATGCAAGAATCAAGGTCAAATTGAATGAAGCAGAAATTCTCAGGATCATGTTGGACGTTTGCCAAGGTGTCTACGAAATGCACAGAACACAATTGATCCATCGCGATATCAAGATTGAAAACGTTTTGATTAACAAACAAGGAAGCTTTAAACTTTGCGATTTTGGCTCAACATCGGTTCCAGTCGCGCCTCCTCGGGATCTGCAGCAGTTCAAACTCATAAGCCACGATATACTTTACCACACAACGCCTCAATACCGTGCACCTGAAATGGTTGATCTTTACAGAGCAAAACCCATTGATGAAAAAGCAGACATTTGGGCTCTTGGATGTTTTCTTTTCAAATTGTGTTACTATACAACCCCCTTTGAAGCAAATGGCGATATAGCAATTTTGCATGCTTCGTTTCTGTTTCCTCCATTGCCACAGTTTTCTGGTGACTTGAAAAATTTGATTATCATAATGCTTCAGGAGAACTCATTATATCGTCCAAACATTGTCCAAGTGTTGGTGTTGATTTGCAAGTTGTCAAACATAAAGTTTGAGACTCTTGGGTTAAAGGATTTTTACAATCTAGGACCATACAGCTTTGAAACGTTACAAGAGTATCAACTAAAAAAGCAGAATGAAGCACTACATGAAAAGCAGTTGTACGCTCAACAGCAGCGTTTGAGAGATCCAATTGAGGGCCATAACCCATTTTTGCCCCAAGTTCAGCCTGAGCCAGCTCCTCCTGTTGAACAGCAAAAACTGCAACCGCAAAAACAACCACAACCACAACTACAACAAACAGTGCCAGTGCCAGTTGAAAATGCTCCACAGGCAGTCCATGGCGATCAACTCGATCCCAAATCCATCGAGCGTGATGAGTCCAACGCGGATGTTTTGGTGTCTCCAAATTCCCTCGTGGGATTTAGTCTGGAGGAGAGCGATGAGTTTTCAGAACTAGACCAGCTTGGCGATGCAGAGGAAAGGTATCCATCGTTAGAACACTTGGGACTTGAAAAGCCAACTAGCGATTCGTCAAAAGTGTCGAAGGGATCAAGCGGTTCTAAACATGGAGAGGCAGTCAAAGAAAATCCAACAAATCAGAAGAGTAGTTCAGTTGATGCACGGGATGCACAGCCAGCAAACATTGAAACAGAAGCTGAAAAATTGGCTGACGACATTTTTGCTGCAAGTGGAGCTCTGAACTCAATGCCAGAAGGTTTTTCTCAGGTGCACGGGCCCGAATTAACAGAAGCCAAAAGTGGATACATTTCAGATCCCGCGGGTCAATTCTCAAGTAACGCCAGAAACAATACCGACATGGCGACCTCGACAACGGGGATGGATGCGCGTCAAATGTCTCGGCCTGTCCATTTCACATCGACAAAGTCAGCAAACTACATAAAACCTGACACTCATAAGAACAATAACCCTTGGATTGGCAAGGAGTCCAATCCAACACCACAAACAGCCACCAGTCCTTCGGATGGCCACCACTTCACCGCAGTCTCCAATATTAATACTACGCCATGGGTTGATCCTCAAGCTGTTCCACATAAAGGTGCAAAATCTCCAAACGAGGTCAGGTCTCCCACATTGTCAGCTATGCCGCAATTTGCGCACCACAACACACAACAACCAGCACGCTCAGATACGTCACACCACCCCCTCTCGCAACGCGAAAAGGATTTGATTGATCTCGAAATCGGTCTCCCCTCCTCGAATACGTCTTCTTCCGAGTCAGCGTTGAACAAGCCAATAGGGCCACTGAAAAATAACTCCCACTTGTCTTTGATTGATATGGATGACAATGACGAAAAAAGGGATAAACAACCAGAGCAAAAGCTGCAAAATGCAACCTCTCTGAAATTAGACAAACCTGTGTTCAAGAAACGCATATCGTCTACCTCTAACCATGCCCAGTTGCATCTACAAGAAGAAGTCATAGATTTTGCCTCAGATGATGAAAATCTTGATAATGGTTCTGACATGAGTAGAATGAAGATTCGGAATTCATTGAAGAAGCCAAAAGGAGGCCGCAGGTCTGGTGAATTGAATCGGTCTGAAAGCTTACAAGAGTCTAGGAAACGCCATTCATTCTTTGGATCATAGTTATAGATATATTATATTGTTAGTTATAGAATGTATTTTCGGCATTAATTTGTAAGCCCTCTTCTCTCTCTCTCTCTCTCTCTCTCTCTGCGCAGAGCATCGGCAAACATGGAAAGCCAAAAAAAAAATAAAAAAATAAAAAAACAAGAGGTTAAACTGAATCACCTTGAGAGTACTCAGCCACTAAACCATGGAGTCTACTAAGTCGACTTTAATTCAGCTTCTATTACTTGTCCCGCTGGATGTATTTCAGCCGGGTGAAAATGAACGATTGAACAGACTCACCAAAGCTGTTTTGGAAGCGCGTTATGTCGAGCTTCTTGAGATTAGCGATTTTAAGGAACTTGCTAGTCTCCCTGAAGCGCAAAAGGCACTACATCTGTATGGAGAGAAGCCATTGGTCGAAGCTCTTCGCGGTTTTGCTCAAGCGATTATTGACTCAAGCAAAATACTTCTTGGTGAGGAAGGATTAATTGATGCCCATATTTACGCAATCACGTTCTTGCAACTTTTCGTACAATCCAACTTCACCGGCCCACCAATTAAGACAGGTGCTCACACATTGCTCTTCCCTAATTCGGATGTGCAGACATTGCAATCAGATGCAGTCAAGATTCTCAATGTGGAAGGACAACCGGCTTATGACTTGATGCAAGATCCTATCTACTTGATCCTTGCGGAGTTGATGTTTGAGGGGTTGACTGACACACCAATTGAAGCTTCATTATTGTCGGGGAATGTAGCCGACAACTCCAAGGAAATCATTGATCATGCCGGAGCTATTGGCCAGCAAATTGACGAACCTCTCAAGGCTTCTATTACATGGTGGAAGTCAAGAGTTTTGCAGGTACATTTATCGGTCTTGTCGGAACCGCTGGGAATTATCCTGTCAGTTTGTGGCGTCTTAATGGGAGCAAACTTGTTGAGACATCTTCTACCTTTACTGGATTCGCCAAAAGGCGTTCAAATGTTGGGCCTGGTGCAATACGTGCTAGAGCAAGCAAGAGTATACATTCACGCTCAAACTGAGCATGCGTCAATAGCACCATTGAATAAGGCTCTCAAGATTACCGGGTTACAATTGCTTCTTTCCGGTGCCAAAGCGAAACGAACAAAGTATCAACAATTCCATACATCCAATTTAATTGTCTTGGCCAAAAGCAGTGAAAACACGTTGTACGATGCAGATTATAATGACGGCCAGACCTTGGAAAACTACAAGCTTGATTCGGAACTATTACTTGAGAGACCACAGTTTGAATCTTTGGAGAATTTGGATATGGAGGTGGAGAACGAATCCAAGAGGATAAAGTTGGACCCAGAACTCATTACTGACGATCTCGCTGAAAGTAGACTCATCCCATTGGCGATGACGGTTGACGACATACCAGCAGATCTTAAAGCACTTGATCCCAATAAACAACCTGCATTGAACAATATAGATATGCTCCAGATACTCTTGAGGCTCGTTGTTATCAAGCAGACTACGCCATCAAATGATGCTCTAGTTGAAGATGAGTTGTTGGCATTAGTTGGACGAATCCTTTATTCCGATTCCGATGGTGGAAACTGGCTCTTGTACTCTAGAGCACTTTGGGAAAGGTCTCTTTTGGAAACAGGCAAATCTAGAACCATAGAGAGAGGCATTTTGCAAATGACTTCATTGATTGAGGAGATTGGTATCAAAATCACCACCCGTCTTTTGCCACAAGCCGAAGAAAGCAGCCCAGACTCTGTTGCAAGTCTGAGATTGAGATTCATTCATCAGTTGCCGTTGCTACCACAGTGGTCACTAGATGCCAAACTTGCAGAAAAGTACATGTCGCTTGGTGTTATTAAATCGGCACTTGATATTTATGAGAGGCTTCAATTGCAAGTTGAGGCTGCCTTGTGTTATGCGGCTATTGGCCGTGAGCAAGAGGCGGAGAAAATTTTGATTGGTAGAATCAAAGAGCATCCGGAGGATGCAAGAGCAGTCTCTGTTTTGGGGGATCTTAAGCAAGATCCGCGGTTGTGGGAAAAAGCTTGGCAAGTTGGCCACTATGCAAAAGCAAAGGCTTCCTTATCAAGATACTACTATTCGCCGCCTCCAGAATCAGGTCTTTCCAAAAATTTGGAGTTGGCAATCTCTCACATGTATGATTGTTTACATGTAAACCCATTGAATTATGAGAATTGGTTTTTTTATGGATGCTGTGGGTTAGAGTCGGGGCAATTTGAACTTGCTTCAGAAGCGTTTACAAGATGTGTCTCATTGGATGATAGCAATTCGTATGCTTGGTCAAACTTGGCATCGGCACTTTTGAAGCTTGACAAAGTCAAGCCAGCATTCAATGCTTTGCAAAAGGCTGTACGAAGCAGTGGTGATCGAAAGTCGTGGAAAGTGTATGAAAATTACATGAATGTTGCAATGCAGCTCAACGAGTGGAACGATGTGTTGATTGCGTACCGCGAGCTTCTATCGATTAGAAAAGAGGAAGGAGATAGCGTGATTGATATACCTGTTTTGGAGAGATTGAGCGAAATTCTTATTTCGTCTGAGTTTCCGCATGAGGGACAAAGTTTGAGCCACTTTCAACGCTCTTGTATTCAGCTCATTTGCGAAACCTTGCCAACCTTGATCACATCTTCTGCTCGTTGTTGGAGGATTGTAGCTCGAGTTGAACTATGGAGGAAACGGCCATGGTCGGCATTAGATTGTCATGAAAAGGCATACAGGGCACTACTTTACAATCCAGATCTTGAAGTTAACGAAGAGGTCTGGAACGAAGTGGTCGATGCTTGTGCAGACTTGGTAGGGGCCTTTGAATCCTTGGGAGAGTTGCCGGGCAAGCACGGGGCAGGGGATTTGGTTTGTAGGGACTGGAAGTATAAAGCCAAGACTACAGTACGGTCCTTAATGTCGAAAGGGAAGGATGTTTGGGAAGATACTTCGGGGTGGGAGACTTTGCTCCAGCTCAAGGAGGATTTGAGTAGTTAGATTGTTTGATAGACTATATAGAAGATATTAAATTGCGTCACTGATGACGCTATAGCGGTCAAATCCCAAAGATGTAGTTCTGATTTCAGCAGTTTGCGGCCCTTGGTTGAGTTCATTGCGATGAAATTTCTTGTACAAGAACTTGGTTACCAATATCAATCCTTTTAACGATTTTCTTGTAGGTCCCAACTCTTCAAGTCTCAACAAATACATTAATGTATAACAGATTGCTTTGTTAATTTGCAATAACTTGAACGATTCGTACCAAAAGATAGCTAGAACCACATTCTCTAAAATTCCAAGTACAAAATATCCTGTACTAATGATGGAGCGTCTTTTTGATCTAGGACCGACAGCCTCTACTAGATTCAACGCAGCATAGTAGACCAACAATGTCACCTTGAAGCAGCTAACTCTTGAATCAATCAAAACACCCGTGTATATAAACATACCGGTATTGTCTTTTTTCAAAAATGAGATGATTGGCTTTTCATCCATACTGAATCTTGGGTTGGATACTAATCGGACCAAGGACCTTGTAGAACTTTTCAGTAGGGGCCCTTTCAACTGTACTAGCAAAACAACACCAAAATGAACCAAAGAAACTGCCATGATTGTGTAGTACGCATCCAAGATTTTGACACTGGACCCAAACCACAAGTACACCCAAATCAAGCCTGTGGATATGACCGAGATGTTGCAGACAAAATGAAAGTCTTCCATCGAACCTTCCTTTATGAAAACATGCCAAACTTTTTGATTGCTGAGCGTGACCCGAGTGTATAAACAAGATAACAAAATTGCGTAGAATGTGTAGAGTTGAATGCAGAAGTTGACAAGGGGCAAGCACAAGCACCAGCAATATTGAACCCAAGGTGTCTGAGTAGTGATGTGAGACTTTCGAAAAGTGAAGCGCAAGGTAGGCATGGCGTAATGCTATGTGTTGGGAAGCAATTCAGGAACAAAGAGACTAGGGTCCTATAGCTAAAAATTTATTGTAATCTTGAGCATTTTTAATACAAATGATTTCTGTGGATAAATTTTTGCAACCATGGAGTGCTTTATACACATGTTATGGAAAACTTGAACTTAGAAAGTCTTCAAAAAGGAAACACGCGTCACCTTTTTGGGCTTGTTCCATTGCACCTTCTTAAACAGCTTTCTATAACCGCCACTTTTGCTCTTATCTCACTCAAGGTGGCTTCGACTCCTTGGATTACGGGTACCAACTCTCTTCATACCAAAAAAAAAGAAAAAAAAAAAAAAAAATAGAAAAAAACATAGAAAGGAAATATGAGAGAGAAGTATCACGTGACACATTAAGCGCTGGACGAAAATGGAAAAAAAAAAAAAAAACAGAGGAACTGGAAAAGACATTGACATTTAAACAACTAGAGATCAAAGAAAAATGAAACACAGGAGTTTCGAGTAGTTACTCCGCCTGGCTATATTTCAACACAAAGTAATTTGACACATTGTCCATACAGATCCCCAGCACCAACACACCCGCACACACACACACACACACACACACACACACAAGGTAATTACAAAGGTGCTCCACATTCATTCAATCAAAAAGAAAAACGAAAAGGAAAATTTTCAACCATTGCTAACCAATGACCATGGATGATAAATACATAGGACTCGCTTTGGCGATGTCTTCTTCGCTAGCAATTGGAACCTCATTCATTATCACAAAGAAAGGGCTAATGGACGCGTCGGCACGTAGTAGGCAGTCCAATTCCAGTGACGGGACTGTACAGGCTACAGAATACTTGCAGAACCCTATATGGTGGGGAGGTATGATCACCATGGCTATTGGAGAGATTGCCAACTTTGCCGCCTACACTTTTGCACCGGCTATCTTGGTCACGCCATTGGGTGCATTATCTGTCATTATTGGAGCAGTGTTGGCTGCTATATTCTTGAAGGAGGAATTGGGAACATTGGGGAAAATGGGCTGTGCCATTTGTCTTATGGGATCTGTCATTATCATTTTGCACGCACCGCCTGATAAAGAAGTGCAGACTGTTGATGAAATCTTGGGCTATGCAACACAACCAGGATTCCTATTTTACTGTTGTGCAGTGGGACTTTACTCGTTGTTTATGATATACAAGATAGTTCCCAAGTACGGAAACACCAACCCAATGATTTACTTGTCGATTTGTTCCTCAGTGGGATCTATATCTGTTATGTCGATCAAAGCTTTTGGAATTGCATTGAAATTGACATTGAGTGGCAATAATCAATTCACTCACGTGTCCACATACTTGTTCTTGATTGTGGTGGCATTGTGTATCATCACCCAAATGAACTACTTCAACAAAGCCTTGGATCAATTTGATACCTCCATTGTCAATCCCTTATATTATGTCACATTTACGACATTCACCTTGGTTGCATCGTTCGTTTTGTTTAGAGGATTCAACACTTCATCTGCAGTAGACATCATCTCCTTATTGATTGGCTTCCTCATCATCTTCAGTGGAGTGTACTTGCTCAATATCGCTAGAAAAGAAAACAGTGGACAAAATCGTGAGATATTTGGTGTTCACAGCTCAAAGGACATGGCTCCGTTGGATAATGGGGTAGGAGGATTCTCAACAGTCAGGAGATCGATGCAAGTAAACAGGTCTATGGACTACGATGAGGAAGAGAGGGTGGCTCTAAGGAGAATCGACAGTTTTGAAATAGACAGCGATGGAGAGGACTCAAGAAATCATAGACACTGAGAACGAAAAAATTGGAAAAAGTTGATATAGAGATGAATAAACAGAGGAATGGATGTATGTATGTAACAATTAGCTCTATATATGTATTGTGGCAGAGACAAAATGACCCATTTACCCCAATTTAAATATCATCGATATCCAACTCTTCATCCTCAGACTCACTATCATCAGCACCACCGAACTCGAAGTTGACATCCTCATCGTCATCAGCACCAAACGTATCGGTTTCATTAATCTTGGCATTCTCAGGCAACTCACCCAATTGTTTCAAAGATCTAGCCTCATCAGAGTTGTATTTATGTACCACGTCACATTGGTCGTCCTGGAAATCTCTCAAACTTACCAAAATTATATCACCTTGACCCATCCAAACTTTCTTTCTCATTTTACCTCTGATGTGGCCCATCCTTTTAGCGCCATCGAAACATTGCACCTCGATTCTTCCATTACCCAACATCTTGGTGATTTGTGCATACTCTTGTCCTTCCTCCCTCAATATCAACTCTCTCTTCTGTCCACTGTTATCGTTCTTTCCTCTTCTTCTGTTTTTACCTCCTTTTCCTTTTCCTGATTTACCCATAGTTGTTGATATAAGAAAAAGTCTTGTGATAGAAAAAGGGCCTATTTTGATTGAAATTTTTTTTTTTTTTTTTCTTCTTTTCCTTTGCTTCTTTTTGCTCTTCAGATTGTTTTTGCAAACGACACGAAAGGCAAGTCAATCTCTCTAGCACTGTCCTGTCTTCGAAGAGCACACATCCCGCATTACCACGATGGATTCATTTGAAGTAGCAAACCAATTTTCAACGATACTACGAAACTTGACCCCTCAGCAACAACAGCTACAGAAAGCTATATATTTTGCATTAAAGAATGCCGATAAGGAGGATTACATTGTGCCCACAATATTGAGCGTTTTGGAGGACGCCAAGTTGGACTTGAATTTGAAATCATTTATTCTTCAATTCATTGACCTTTTAATGCAAGAGAGCTTTAGTAATCCGAGATACAACAATGCATACATTCAGAGCTTGAAGAGCAAGTTGCCCCAGATTATGCAACTGGTGTGTCCTCTGAATAACTCATCCAATTTAATGGTTGCATACACATGTTTATGTCACATACTGTCGAGGTTCAAAATAGATTGCAAACCGTACAAGGTAGATTTTCAAACAAGCTCACTAGACGAACTTGAAGACAGGTCATTTGAACTTGATGGTAATGAAGATGCATTGATTTCTGCATGGAAAATTCTACTAGAACGCTCGAGGGCAAGTAAACTCGATCGGAAAAGGCTTGTCAATGACGAACCTGTCTATAAAGATCACAGGGATGAAGACCAAATATTCAACATCCGCAACAAAAACGATCCCAACACACAATACCTAACAAAAAAGCAAATCATTACAAGAATTGAAGATGAAAGAGAAACGCATAAACGGTTGAAAGAAAACAAATGGTGCGTTAATCGTAGCAAAGATGTCAAATTCATTAGTGAAGATGAATTTATCAACAATTACTGGAACAAATTCCACCCGTTGACAAAGGAAGAGAATGTCGAGTTTTTGAATAATCTTAAGGAATTGAATGGAATGGTATTGCAAAGCTATAAAGATAAGCAGTTTTAGATATTTTTAATGTACAAAAAGATGTGTATCTATATATGTTCTACTTTCCTTCTTTATTCAACACCCAAGCATTATTGATACTCTCCAAACAATTTGTAACCCAGTGTTTGGAGTTTTGAGTCAATACAAAGTGATGACAATTTTCCCATCTCTTTTTCTTTTCTTCGGCACCCATAGTCAACAGTTGATAAAAGGTTTCAGAAAACTTTTTCAAATCCCATGGATTGATTAAAAGTGCTCCTTCGCCATCGCAGTAAAGCAACGATGCCGAGCCTGTAAACTCTGACAACACTAGCGGTGACTTCTTCTCTTCAGTAGCGGTGATAAACTCGTGACATGTCAAATTCAACCCTTCACGCATGGAACTCACGACAAACAGTTCAGCTTCGCATTGCAACGCCAAATACTGGTCAAATTCAATATCCTTTTGTAACAAAACCACTGGCTGGATTACAGATATATTCTCCGGCAAGGAGTTGATTCTTGAAATAATCTTCATCACCTCCAGTTCATACAAAGAATCAGCCCCCGAGCCAATGCAAATCTGGATCAAAACCGTCTTGTCAATGTATTCTGGGTGCTGATTCAAAAACTTTTCATAAGCAAGAAGTTTCTGCTTGATACCCCTCAACTTATCCAACTTGTCCCTACTAATGATGAGCTTTTGCTCTCCCCATCTCTCTCTAATTAAGCGTCTCCACTCAGAAACCAGATCACTGTGAAGCTTCTTTTCAAGTGATGGCGCGTCAATACCAACTGGTATAGTATTGACCACAATAGTCTTGTTTTGATAAACAACCTTGTCATCAGTTGTCTCGGCGTCAAGAATCTTGTTGCAAGTTTGCTTAAAGTGACGCACATACTCATTGGTTTGGAAGGAGATGCAGTCAGCACCCAACATACCTTCCAATAACTCAGTTCTCTGTGCCAAACAACGGAAAACCTCAGAAGAAGGAAACGAAACGTGCAAAAACAATCCAATTTTAACCTTTGGCAACTTTTCCCTAACCATTTTGGGAACTAACAACAAGTGGTAATCATGGACCCAAATGACATTTTCTGAATCATCGAAATTGCAATCACCATTCGTAGCCACAAAAGTCTCAACTAATTTGTCTGCAACCAACTGATTCAACAAAACATAGTGGCCCCAAGAGTGGTCTTCAAAAGCCTTTGACTTTGGATCATCTGGAATTTGATAGTGTAGGGTTGGCCACAAAATTTGCTTACAAAAAGACTTGTAGTGACCTTCAAAAGTTATATCATCTGGGAAAACAGGCTCACAGTTGTACTCTGAATCCAATTTCGATGAAATCTCTTGTCTGATTCTGGAGGAGATTGTATCACTGGGCATGGCAATGATCCCAACCCATTTGTTTTGCTGCAAAATGCCCTCTTTGACCGACAAATCCACAGCCTTGTTTAATGACCCATTACCACTATCAGAGGCAACAACTGACCAAGGAGCGTTGTTGAAGATATCATCGTCCCAGAAATACTTTTCAATGTGAGGCTTGGAGAACCCACCGTACGGAGCCAAGGCTCTATTATGCGATACTGAGTTGTTGTAATTTTTTTCAAACCCAACCAATCCGTCCTCATCCTCGTCTTCAAACGATGACGGAATCATTTCTGAATTATTGACCCCACCCGGTGTCTCTTCGGAAACCAAAGAGTTTAAACTGTTGTTTCCTTGAATAGTGAAGCCGTAGTATTGATGGTGTGGTTTCTGTTGTCCCTGGGTCACTTCATTGTGCAACCTTGAATGCGATCCAGCTCTAATATTCTGGGGACGTGCCAAGTTTGTTGTTGAGATGGACAAGCTTGACAGGGATCTATTGATCTTCAATCCAGTCGAGTTGTAAGGATCAGTTTGCTTTTTTGGGTCAAGAATGGAGCTTTCAATTTTGTTGCCCACACGAGGCTTTGGTTGGATGTAGTGAAGTGCTGGTGATGAAGGATAAGAGTCTGAAGCACCACCGTCGCGATTCACTCGTGGGTTACGCTTATTGTAAAAGAACTCATCTGGAGTTTCAGATCGCGTTGATTGGTTGCTCGTGATGTTGGGATTCAAGATGGAAACCGAAGACAGATTATTCAACAAGCGTGGTTGTGATGCAGCAATCGAAGGTGGAGCTGGGGTTTCGTTTTGGCCACCGGAGATTGTAATCGTTTCAAGCTTTGCGCTGTCTTCCTTTTGTAAGAATTCATAATGATTCTTGTCGATTTCAAAATGGACAGTGTATGGAAGAAATCTGGTTAGTTAGTAATAAGTCGTAAGTCAATGGCAATGGAGAGATACATACAGTGTTCCAATAATGACAGTCATGGCGTTTGTAATCGTGTGTAGATGGGTTCGAGCTGTGTGAATAGAAAAGCCAACGGAAGGGGGTGGGGTTCTAAGCTGCTATTTATACATTTGGATCTGATGTGTGTTGCACAAAGACTGTATGCGAAACAGCAAACTAAAGAAAAAAAACCAAAAAGACGGACAAAATGTGCTGTCTCTGTCTTGGTCTCTGTCTCTGGCTCTGTCTCTCTGACTCAGCCTGAAATACATCAATTGCTTCACAATTGGGAGTCGGTTTGAGTCACGACGTGGCTGTGCCACTTTCTACAACTGCTGCACATATCAATCAACTTACATAACATGTACTCTTTTACAGAACCATCTGCGTTATATTACTACTTCCTGGGACCCAACTACTCCGAAAATGTTCTCTCTTCACCGAGACGCACAATTTTGGTTGGGTGTTGGTTGCAACCCCACGAGGGGAGTTTATGAAATTGAGCAGACAAACAAAAGTTTACGTTCTCAAAAATCTTCCATTTCATCACTGTCGAGGTCGCTACTGTCTGGATTGTTTTGTTGAAAATGAAACTGTATTTCATTTTGCTCTCTAAACTCTCTCTCTTGCCTCTCTTTCAACTCCTTTTGAGCCTCCAACTCTTTTCGTTTCTTTTCCTCTTCTGACCGAATCGAAACAATCACCTTTTTGAACTCGTCATTTAAGATATTGTTGAAATACTTTTCCGTTTGCGCTGTTGGTTTCTCTGTTGCATATGGGCTATAATAACGCTCAGCTTTCATGAATATGTCTGTATCCCTCTTTTTCTGCTGCTCCTCGAGTCTGGCTTGCTTTCGGAACCGTAACTCCTTCCGCTTCTGGGCATATTTTATAAAATCAAATTTGTTTACTGGCTCCTCAATGGAAGTACCAGTAGACTCTTCTACTGCATTTGACGGCCCTTCAGCAATTTCTTCTTTAACTTTTGGTACTTCTTCCACCGGCACGTCGGTGGTATTTTCCTTCTCCGCCAACTCCGTCAACTCTTTTTCAAATTCGGCTTTCAACTTCAAATCGCTAGCATCGCTTTCGATCAACTTGTACAATGACTTCTCCGTAAGTCTTGATTCTTCAACCAATTTCCTTCGAAGCTGCTTGAGGTCGGTAAGTGGTTGCGAGAAGGTTGGAGTCGACTGGTATGTGTAATCAGGAGGTAGGTCGGGCATGTACGAGGGAATGTATTTTGGCTTTGTTCTTATATTTGGCACAACTTCAGATATTGCGTATTGCTCATTTAAGGAAAACTCATCGTCACTGGGTACTTCAATTGAGGTCACCTTCTGAATCTGCTGTCGGTGTAAATCAGACAAGCCCCTACTAATCTGGATCTGCTGCACCAAGGCATTTGGCAGAAGATCATTCTCTTCCAAAATAAGCCTTATATCTGAAAGAGATGGTTTTCGCCGCCTTTGCAACTGCGTATACTCTAGCAAGTCCGACAATAGGTGATTGATGTAACCAGTGGCCAAATCAAACATCTGGCTCATGAAATCCTCTGTAAAATGATACCCTCTCGATTTTAGTATCACGGCAATCACCTTTACCAATTGTGCGTCGGCTGGCGACTGTTCCCACGGTTTGATACTCGAAGTCATTTCGTTTGTTCTTTACATAGCGTGGTCTACTCCCTGTTATTTTCCTTTTTTTTTTTTTTTTGTTTTTTTTAATAGTTTTTTTTTCTTTGGATTCTCACTTTGTTTATAAAAACTACATAGACACATTCCCCACTATACTTAATTATTCAATAAGTACTCAATAGCCCCTTGTACACTTCCGCCTGTTCTTCTCAATGCCTCTACGTTTCTTTCAAATTCATAGAATCCCATGTCGTTCAATTGCCTCAACTGGGACTCGTACCTTTCCTCTGGTGGTCTATTGTCAACTGGTGCATTAGACTGGCCAAATGGATTGGCACCACCAAACAACGCAGCTGGATCTATGGGTGGAACACCATTGGGGAATAAACTAGCAAAAGGGTTGGCTTGGGAGGATGGGTTGTTGCCACTTGCATTGCCACTTGCATTGCCACCCAGTTGGTTGGATCCAGCGTTATTATCATTGCTTGCGGGACCTTCAGTAGTTGGGTTAGCGCCTGGAGCGGGAAAAGAAGTATTAGCCGTAGCGCCAGCTCCTCCAAGTCCGCCAAATGGGTTTGCTGCACCACCAGCTTGTTGCATCTGCATCATCGATCTCAACATTTCCGGGTTTGTCATCATTTGTCTAAACATTGGACTTTGCATCATCTCTCTCACTTGAGGGCCCATTGCTCTCAATTGTGGATTTTGTTGAATCATAAAGTCCAACATTTGGGGGTTGGACAACATGGCGTTCAATTGCTCTTGAAACATTGGATTTGACATCATTGAGGATAGTTGTTCTGGATCAGGCAAGTTTGAATTCATTCCTCCATCTGGACCAAAAAGAGAGGCCGAAGGTAACTGTGTATAACCGGCATAACGAGCCCCTGTCAAGTCAGCTAATGGGTTAAATGACCCTTGACCTGCAGCAATATTTGAAGGAATGTTAGAAGCGGCATCCGTAGTTGAAGATTCCCTAGCTGTTGGTGCTGATGCTGATGCTGGTGCAGGTGCAGATGCAGATGCAGTGTTGGCACTTTTCACCAAGTGGATTGTGTGTGAGTTTTGGATCTTGTACGACTCCGCTGTTTCTGCATCCTTCAATACTTTACCAGAATAGATTAATCGCTGGCTTGAAGCTGGAATCGACGATTTCTCCGCTATCAACTCCTTCAATTCAGATATTTTTATGGATGGATTGAACGTGACTTCGTACTTCTTGTCTCCTGAGGACTTTATTGTGACCGTAATCTCTGACATGTTGGAAACTTGTTTAAAATGAGTGGATGGCAAAAAGGTTGAATCGAGTGGCGATAGTACGCTCTGTAGCACTTTTTCTTTTTTTTTTTTTTTTTTGCGTTGTCTTTTGGTATCCGCTTAGAACCATTTCGAGAATGGGGAAGGGGAAGGGGGACACATTGGTTGACCCAAACTACCTACAAGATTGCTCCTACTTCTTGGTCCAAAATGTATGAAGTTGATTAAAAATTACAAATGCTAGAACCAGTTTACATATTACAGTTACTTTACCTCGATTTTCCACCCACAATCCAAACAACTGTACCCGTCAGTACCGTCTTCGAAGGACACTTTTCCTTTACTTTGCATCAAAGCCCACTCCCCCTTGGCGGGTACTTTTCTGCAGGCATCATTTAAACATCTTGCTGATGTCTTTTTGTATCTCAAGCCACAAGAGTTGCATAGCTGGCCCTCTTTGATGGACCATGAGGGTCTCCAACAAGGCGAGTCTTGCAGGCCACAAGAAATGCAGGCTCTAGTGTTAGTTTGATGGTGATGATGGTTGTGGCTGTGGTTGTGGTTGTGGTGATGGTGGTGGTGGTGGTGGTGATTGTGGGGATGATGCGTTTTAGTTGGTGTTTGTGGCAAGTCAGAGCGAGTCAGTTTGGGTGATTGGAAAACAAACTTGTGGGTATCTAAAGGAGATGATGTCCGAACTTGCTCTTGCGAGACTGGATGGAATGTATGCGATCTAAATGATTGTCCGACCAGCGGCAATGCGTGAATGCTTGGCAACTTTTCAGTTTGGTGAGTTGGCGTTCTTGGTTGAGTGAATGCTGATGTCAGGAGTGTGCGTGGGGTTTCAGTGGGCTTTGAGAAAGGTGACTTTGGCTTATTAGCGAGCTTCAAATATTGGGGGAAATTCTGGACATCCTGCATGAATGCACCGTTCAAATACGTATAGTTTGACTCGAATGGGAAATCGATTTTCTTGTCGATTGTCACTGTGGGTTTCAATGAAATCTTTGAGCTCAATTTTGAGGTAAAGTTTGGTTTGCAATCGTTGTTGAGGTAGTTGTACTTTGTGAGATGGTAGGTCTTTGAATCCTTCATGATTTTGTCCAACAATTCTGATCTCCAGCTTTTGTCTGTGCATGTGTCAAAAAATTCCAGTGAAACCGTCGAGCTGGGTACATTGTGGACTGGACTCAATGCATTAATTCCTGGCAATTTGAGCTTTTCAGGAGATGCTATTGGGGAGGATGCTGGTGAAAGAAGGTTGACAATTTGTTTGTTAGGAGATAATGACTTGGATCTGAGACTTGTGGGTGGTAACTTTGGTCGTATCACGTTTCCTATGACTACCTTTGAGTGGATGTTTGATGGTGGCGATGGTGGTGCTGTCCTTGGTCTTTTGTTTGATGTTTCGATTTCCTCTTCAAGAGTGCGTTTGATGGGAAGATTTTGTTCGAAACTGTGTGATCTGAAGCGATTGAAGTGGTTGTTGCTCATGACTAAACTCATGGTATCAATATAAATTAGCGGATTAGGTGGAAGTGAATGACTTAATTAATTTTATAGGGTGATTATCAAGACTTCAGTTCGGTCTTTGGAGGGATTGATTCAGTGTATATATATATATATGCGGTTTCGAGTGTTGAGTGGGTATGTCTCAACTTGGATCAACTGACAAGCCATTTCAGGGAGAGGGAATTCAAGTTGATTTTGTGGAAACTGGCAATACCATTTTGTTGTTGATCTGATCACAGAGATCAATTCTCAATTGGGAATGAAACTCGCCCAATTGGGAAATGTTATTGCAAGCAAAAAAAAAAAATAAAGGAAAATAAAATAAAAGAAAAAAAAGAGAATGCGCGCAGAACAAAAAGAATAAAGAGGGAAAAGAGAAAATGGCTTGCGAGAATGTATCGCAGCGTGGTACAAAATTGAGTACGCGACGTATTGGAGCGGCATTGATTTGCTGGCACTCGAATAGTATTCCCCGTGCTTGCCAGGGTGCGCCAAGCAGACTCTTTTGGGAACGCGAGCCAGCAATGGAGATGTTTAGTGTTGATGGGAATTCTCATTATTTTCTAGCCAAGCATAATCATGAAACAGTTTTCTGGTTCTGCAGGAGATGGAAATAGTGTCTCTTTGACTTTGATCCCATGATAGGAGTTGATACTGATATGCAAGAAGTGCCATTTCGTGAACGCATAGAATATGATATAACACCAAGCCAGCAAAAGCTGTTGCAGTAAATCCACCATTGTAGATATTATTTCTTTGTCTAAACCTCTGCCCACTTATTTCCTACTAGGCGCTGCTGCTGCCTGCCACAACGGGAAACCACCAGCTTATATAACTTGCGAATATAGAGCATCAGTTGGGGTATTTCGATGCTCAGGACTAATTTTCAAAGATTGAGCTGCACACGATGTTCTATCCTATTACTCGAAAGAGTTGCCGGAGCATTTATGATGAAAGGAATCCCTCGAAAGCTCTTTCTTGCTCGTGAAAAACCGGTACTGTGACTGAGCGGTCTGAAATTTATATGCGTTTTGTCTTTACATTAAAAGTGTTCTCAAGCTGGATGGATATCACTGCAATAACTCCTGTGGAGAGTATAGAGTAGAAGGAAGAAGCTGAGTCAAAAACTTTTCATTTATTGGAATCTATTTATGCCGTTAAAACTTGAGCATCGCCAAAAGCGTAGTAGTAAAGCTGTGATAAGCCCTTGACCAACCCATATAATATATACGAATAGGCTCCGTAAACGACTAAAAAGATAAGGAGTAGTAGACTTCCGTGAAGGAGGAAAGTCTCTGGCCATGTCAACATGATAAAGGGGAAGTGTATATAATACATGTTGTAGAACCATTTAGGTGACAAAAAGGTGTACTGTGGTGTACTTCTGCGATCTTTAGTTGTAACCATTGTGAAGGGGTAAGCTATAAGACACTATCTGGAGGTTTTTGGGGGGATAATAAACGAAGATGACGTACTTGTTAAGTGGATGAAGATGTTGACGATTTCGAAATTGAAAGTTTTATCGCGCAACGTGTTTTCCTTCCCTTTTATTTTTTTTTTTTTTGGTTCACGTAGCCACAGACTGAGTGAGAGGAACAGGCAATTGAGTGCTGACAAGAGTCAAACTCTACTCGTATTACAGCTTAGTCTTCTTCCCTTATAAGGGTAGGTGAAGATTTTTGTGGGACGCTTTATTGAAGGGGAGAGGAAATATCAATGCTGCTCCCCTGTGCGGCTCTTTCCCATTTAGGACTTCATTTCAATTCTCCCTCATCTCTCTTTCCTTCTATTGATGAGTTTGAGTGTTGATTTACTTAATTGTCCAAAAAAAAAAAAATTTTTCAATTCAACCAGGCTATTCTTTTCTTTTCGACAAAGTGTACAACCCAGTAGGACAATTACTTCCTACATTCAAGTGTATGTACAATCCTTCAATTGGAAGATTTGTAATGATGAACAGTTATATAACAACAACGAATTTCTTCAACTGAAACACCATGTGGAGAAAAATACAACTCAGAGCTTTTTAACACTGATTCAAATCTTTTGTACTCGAAAGGGAATTATTTTACTAACATGATAGCTTTAGACAATTTAAACTTATCAAAGTAAGCGGAGCTTCTTGTTGCTTAGCAAGTAGCTCAATGGCGCAACCCGACTTTACATTGCGAGTGCTGTGTGTTTCTACTTCACCTATTTTCAACTGAGGCTTCTAGTAACTCTCTAGAAACACCAGTCACTTGTTTGTATCTTACGCAGACTTCATCAAAAATGATGTTGTTCGCCAGTGGCTGGATTGATCCGTAGACAAAAGAAACTCTCTATACGCTTCTAATCAACTACATCGTTTCTGCGTATGCTCACCCCTCTANATTCTCCATTTGTTGTGCAATTCATCAATGGAAAGAAAAAGAAAAAGGAAAAAAAAAGAAAACGCGTCCACACACAACAGTACATAAAAACAATCTTCATCTCAGTGATGCACAATATCAAGCCAAACGCTCCGTTCAAGCCTCCTAGACTACTAAAAGAGGGCGACATTCAGAACTTACCGTCTAGGGATCTACCCAAAAGAGCTGGTGCCGTACTCGCAAAACGTCCCCCTCCCAACATAGCACCCGTTGCTGCAAAAAGGGCCAAATCTGAAACCACTGATGACTCGTCCATCTCACGTTGGACAATACAATGGAGGAAAAAGACAAACAAGAAAAATAAGAGCTGGGATGGTGATGGCTTTGCAACCGTCAAATCCACCGCTTTTGGCTGCGAAATGGTAGTGAAGAACTCCGATGGGAAGGTCATGAGCAAAAAATCGTTTAATCTGGGCCCCGATCTCGATGATGTTATACCTATTGGGGGGTACGAAATAATATTGGATGAAAAATTGAGTCAAGAGGGTTCGGATGTGACTAGTGATGTGAACAAGACTGCAATTGAAGTGGAAGAAGTTATCGTTGCTCCAAAGGTTGTAGAGCAGTTCAAGAAAGTTGTCCATGACGCGTCACCTGAACCAAGAAAGCCGTTGTATGACGATGCAGACAAATTTACACTAACCCCGCCTCCCGGTTTGTCGTCGCATGTTCCAGTAAGAATTGATCCCATCCTTGCATCCAAGTTGAGACCACACCAATTGGAAGGTGTGACATTTTTGTACGAATGTTTAATGGGATTCCGCAATTTTAAAGGAAATGGATGCCTTTTGGCTGATGAAATGGGCTTGGGAAAGACGTTGATGACAATAACCACCATTTGGACCTTGCTAAAACAAAATCCTTATCCTGATCAAAAGAAACCCATTGTCAACAAGGTTTTAGTTGTCTGTCCAGTTACCCTTATCAACAATTGGAGGGAAGAGTTTAAGAAATGGCTCGGTTTGAATAAGGTCAATGTGTTAACTTTGAACAATCCAATGTCTGACGACAAGCGTGATATAGTCAACTTTGGAAAGTTGAACGTTTACCAAGTTCTCATAATCAATTATGAAAAAGTGCTTGCACATAGGGAAGAGCTATCTACAGTTCCGTTTGATCTTTTGGTTTGCGATGAGGGGCACAGGCTCAAAAACAGTGCCAATAAAGTGATGATAAACTTGACAAAGTTGAACATCGCAAAGAAAATTGTGTTGACTGGGACTCCCATCCAAAACTACTTGACTGAATTTTATACGCTTGTGTCATTTTTGAACCCACATGTATTGCCAGATACCAAGACCTTCCAAAAAGAATTTGTGAATCCAATTACTAGAGCCAGAGATGTAAATTGTTTCAATGAGGAGATTAAGAAGCAAGGGGAAGAAGTTTCGCAACGGTTAATTCTGCTCACTCACAAGTTTATCCTTCGACGTACGCAAGCGATTCTCGAAAACTATTTGACTAATAAAACTGACATACTATTATTCGTCCCTCCAACACAATTACAACTAGACTTGTTTGATCTGATAAAGAGATCGCAAAAGTTTCAGGATTTGGATTCCGGTGCCATTTCCTTGTCGCTTATCAACTTGTTTCGCAAGATTTGCAATTCTCCGTCACTTTTAGCGTCAGACGATTTTTACAAAAGCATTACCGATGGAAGCTTGAAGTTGTCAACCAGTTCCGGTAAATTGAATGCGCTTATTCCATTAATTTTGGAGATCACTGCTCAGAAGGAGAAATTAGTGCTCATTTCAAATTACACCACCACTCTAGACTTGTTGGAAACGGTGATCAAAAAGCTCAACTTGCAGTTTTTACGTTTGGACGGTTCTACGCCAAACAACATGCGGGGCAAACTTGTCAACAGGTTCAATGAAGATGACCTGGTTCTGGTATTCTTACTCTCATCAAAGTCAGGGGGAACTGGTATCAACTTGATTGGTGCTTCAAGGTTGATCTTGTACGATAATGACTGGAATCCATCAACCGATTTGCAATCGATGTCACGAATCCACCGCGATGGACAACAAAAACCATGTTACATCTACAGACTCTTCACCACCGGCTGTATTGACGAAAAGATTTTTCAACGACAATTGATGAAGAACAAGTTGAGTTCAAAATTTTTGGACAACGACTCGTCTTCAAAGTCGGATGTATTTGATTACAGCGACTTGAAAAACTTGTTTGAGATTGACCTGGGTACAGCGTCAAACACTCATGATCTACTAGGCTGTTCGTGTGCTGGTGATGGGTTTATGTTGTCGCAGAAATGTGACTCGGACTCAGATGACGATCAAACTACAACGACCAAGGAATGGATGTCGGCTGCTGAGCTTCAGGAAAATTTGAACAAAACCGGGTATCAAACAAAAGCAGTTAAAAAGGCACTAAACGATTACCATCACTATGCTCCCGAATTAAATCAAAATTTGGAGTTTGATTCAGTGATTAGCAGAATTTTAAGCAACAAGTTGTTCAAAAACAAATCCCCCTTCACGTATATAATGCAAAAGAGTAATGATGCTCCATCTACAATAGATAATTAACTTTGCTTTTATAGCAGTGTGTTTTTATATGACATTAAAAAACTACCTTCTCTACTTACTTCTTAGCAGCTTTTTGAGCAGCCTTGGTGACCTTACCAGCCTTGTCGGAT